TTACACTTGGAGAGTAAACAGGAAAAGAAGAGGAGAGCAGTCATGCTTGAGAGAGAGAAGGGGGGCTGTGTGATCTGAGAATCCGATGCAATCCAGATGTGAGGACAGCCCTCCGTAATCAGAAATTCAGTTGAGTGAAGCTGATGGTGTTCAAGACGCTAACCCTGTGCAAAGAAAGGAAGATTGCTTCCAGGAAGCTGATGGGAAGCTGAGGAACTAAGCAATATATATACTGTGATTTTGCATGCTTAGTGGAGAGACATTTGTTCTGTTCAGAGTCACCAGCGGATGCAAAGCAGACCCAGGTCGGTAAGATCATGCACGCACCTCATTTCAGTGTTGGCGCCTATAGGACTGAAACTCAAGCCAGTCTGGCGTTTTGCTCAGAAGGAATACTCAGGCACGTGTTACTGGACCAGTTATACTGTAGATTTGTGTAAGATTGTAGGCTGTTGTTCTGTACCGCAGCACAAGGGTCTCAGCCTTTGGGCTGGGTGTATGTAAATTTATTGTATATTCCAGAATTTGTGGTTTTGTTTATTTGCCACATCTAACTAAAATTCTGCTGTGACAAAAGCTGGTGTTGGGGTTGCTTTCCTCATTTGTGACTTCACTGTATCCTGGGGAGCCCACCCTGGTACACGGGCTTACAACTTGGCATAGTCGGCAGGATACAGCAACCGTTATGGACTGGAATGCGGCTGGAGATCTTCCCCAGCGCCAATGGCACTGGTCCAGGACCCAGCTCAGGGTGCGCCGGTGAAGGACCAAGTTGTCCCAACACCGCTGATACAGCTTACCCCTGCCCTGCTCGTACCAGTAGGGTACATTCCCGTGGGGGCGCTGTTGAGTCACCTGCCAAAATTTGACGGTAAAAATATGACGTTTCAGGACTGGACTCATTTATTGTATATTCCAGCATTTGTGGTTTTGTTTATTTGCCACATCTAACTAAAATTCTGTTGTGACAAAAGCTGGTGTTGGGGTTGCTTTCCCCATTTGTGACTTCACTGTATCCTGAGGTACATGGCTTACAACTGTTGTCTATGAGGCCCCAATTTCTTGCAGGTGGTATAGCTGTCCATTCCTCTTAGCAAAATGCCTGATTGTCTTGTATGAACAGCACATTTGAGATCTCCCCAGAGGGGCTCGATAATATTAAGGTCAGGAGACTGTGATGGCCACTCCAGAACCTTCACCTTTTTCTGCTGTAACCACTGGAGAGTCAACTTGGCCTTGTGCTTAGGGTCATTTTCATGCTGTAAAATCCAAGATTGTCTCATACACAGCTTTCATGAAGAAGAATGCAAATTGACTGCCAGTATTTTCTGATAACATGATGCATTCATCTTGCCATCATTTTCACAAGATTCCCCATGCCTTTCAAGCTCATGCACTCCCAAAACATCAGTGAGGTACAACATGCTTTACAGAGGGATGGTATTCTTGTCTCTATATGCCTTGTGACCCCTCTCCAAACATAGTGCTTATGGCTGTGACAAGGATTTATTTTGGTCTCATCACTCCAGATTATAGTGTGCTAGAAGCCTTAAGGCATGTCAAGATGTTGTCTGGCATATTTTAACCAGGCTTTTTTTGTGGCATTGACGCAGTAAAGCGCAGCTTCCTTCTGGCAACTCAACCATGCACTTCATTTTTGTTCAACTATCATCATATTGTGCTCCCTGAAACAACCCCACTATCTTTTTCCAGAGCAGCCTGTCTTTCTCCTGAGGTTACCTGTGCATTTTTCTTTATATCCCAAACAATTTTTCTGGCAATTGTGGCTGCAACCTTTCGTGGTGACTTTTCTGCTCCCCGTTGCTCAGTATCTAGCCTGCTTAGTGCATCCACAAATTCATTGACTATTTATACACAGACACTAACTGCAATTTAAAAAGCCACAGATGTGGAAAATTAACCTTTAACTGTCATTTTAACTTGTGTGTTACCTTGTTTGTCAGTACCAAGGCCAAACATTCCAGGATATGTAAACGTTTGATCAGGACCATTTGGGTGATTTCTGTTATTGTTATGATTTAAAAAAGAGCCAAACAACTATGTGAAAATAAATGGCTTCATATGATCACTTATATAAAAGACAGTTTTTTGGCATGATCAGTCATATTTTCAATATCAATGCCACACATTTCACAATTTCTGCCAGGATATGCAAACTTTTGAGCACAATAGTAATTCTCTCATGACAGGTGGATTTTAATGATTTTGATGTCTTTTCCAAATTTTGATTTATCATGAGCATACATGTTATGGCTTTCAACAATACTGTGCATGAGTCCTTCATTTGGATCTGACCAAATATGGAACTACAGAATATATTATGACTGTTATCTGAACCATTGGCATTCATACATTACCTTTTGCCCAGTAATCCATATTTTCTCAAAGACGTGATGTTTGGTCCAGTTTCTAGATATTTGTTTAGGCTAACCCTACATTTAACTAATAATTATCTGGTCTGTCTATCCTAGGAATATGGAGATGAAATCCCATTTTTTTTAAATGTGAACGGTGAATAAAAAATATTATCTTTAGAGGTAAATAAAGGTGTTGGAAATAGTAAATATTTGCATACATATGCAAAAACATGAATACTCTAATACTGTATACTGTATATACTGTATATACTCACAATACATACATACAAGCACACCTCTTGGGTGCAGTTAGATTATATGCATGCTGCATAGTCAAGGCTAATGGAGGAAAGAAGAAAAGAAGCAAGCAAGCAAGAAAGAAATGATTATTATTATAAAAACGTACGCTCTTTCCAAGTGAAACTTTGTAAATGTTATGGGAATAGATAACCCTTTAGATTTTAAGATCCATGAGCAGGGCCCTCCTATTCCTTCTGTATTGAACTGTATTGTAATTGTACTGTTCCCTTTATATTTTACAGTGCCGTGCAAACTGTTGGTGCTATAAAAATCCTGTATAATAATAATAACCCTTCATTTTAATTATGGTTGCAGGTTTAGTTCTGCTTTAAGATAAAATATAAAAACCTTCTAAAGTTCACAGTACTTATCACTGTTCCAATAGTCTTGCGCCCTCCCGTGCTGCCATCCTCTTCATGGCTTCTTTCGGGGATGCTGACCTTTGGCCATCTTGATTGGTCTTCATGGGATGACGTAACTTTCATGCATGTGCAGGGGTTTAGTCATCCTGACACACAGGCACTGGGCAATGTAAACTGAGCTAGGCATGCGCAGTGTACATTTTAATGATGACTGCAAGCAAACAGTTTATTCTATCACAGGGGAGACTTTGCATGTCTTTTCTACAATAAGGAACCCTCTTGCTCTTATTGTTTTTTTTATTTAGACTTTAGATTAACTTAACCACTTACACCGTAATTTCCCAAAAAAATATTCCTTCTGTTGTTGATTACAAATCCCTGAATCATTTTAAAGGCAGCATTATGCCATGCATTGTATTCCAAAAATGTAAAATGTAATTTTAATTATTTAAATGCGTATGCTATTATATCATTTTAGCATAATTGTGTACAACAGCTGTAACATGAAGATCTAATCTAGGAGGGAAGATATACGCTATTTACCATATTTCCTGTAAATGCTTAATTCCTTGTGGATATTATGACCATTGTGAAAGAATGTACAACAAATCTATGATCTGGTATTAAGTGACAGGGGATAGTCACTAGTTGACATCACCCCAGTATAATGTCCTTCATGAAAACAGAATACTGTAAGAGTTACCATTACCACTGGGTTCATGTCATATCCAGTTGGTGCAAAATTCTTGGTAACAGCAAATTTTTGTTTTTCAGCTATAATGCCCTACATGACCAACAGGGTTAGAAGGGTCAATAAGGGGGCTTTTGTGAAAGCTAACCCCTTCACTATAAAAGGAAAGGCTTGGAGCAGCCATAGGGTCCATATGCTGAAGGCTACTGCAGGGAGAAGATAGAAAGGGATGACAAACTGCAGAGTGAAAGATTAGGGTGAGGAGATTGTGTTTTACTTCTGATTTCTAGCTCTTTGGGCAATCACCCAAGTCTTAACCCACAACACACACACTTTGCTGCCTTTTTTATTTGCATTATTGGGAGCCCTTTTGGCTTTAGTTTGTGGTTGGTTTAACCTTTTTACTGCTACTGCTGTATGCCCTATGGGTGTGGCAATGGGTGGGTTTACACCCCTGGCAACTGTATGAGACTTTTGTCTTTTTAATGAAAGTGATTGGGTGGCTTTCCTTGACGCCCAGAGTGTCTTCCATTTGCAGCCAGGGAAAAAGCTAATGGAGAGTAATCTGTGTTCAAGTATCTTCAATAGAAGGCAGATGAGACATAAGGCTAGATTCCTGTGGGCCGCGTTTTGCTTGCGCAAGAGAGCCCATTCATTTGAATGGACTCCCATGCCCCGGGACACACAGGGAAGAAGTCCCTGCACTTCTTTGGAAAACGCAGCCTGCACGGGAACCTCGTTTCCCAGTACGGTTGAGATTTTCAGTGTGGGCGGCGTGCCATTAGAATTATATATGACGTCCTCCCATTCTCACCGCGCATGCGTGGCTCAGGGAGCACGCACCGCGGCGATCGGCGGTGCGCTGTGTCCCTTGGACACAGAGGATCATCGATCTACGGAAAGGGCCGAAGATGTCAGCTCGGTCATGTGTGTCCAATCACAGCTGATCACGTGCAAACAGGGAAATGCCGGATATCGGCATTTCTCTCCTCACGAGCTGTAACGCTGACAGCTTGAGAGGAGAGGAGAGCCGGTAATCGGCATTCCGCGGAGGGGACATGTACACTGATCATCTGGGCACTGATGATCAGTGTGGCCCCAGAAGTGCCACCTGTCAGTGTCCATCAGTGCCAGCTGTCAGTGCTGAACAGTGACACATGCCAGTGCCCATCAGTGCCACATCAATGCCACATATCAGTGCCTACCAGTGCATATCAATGCCACATATCAGTGCCCATCTGAACTGCCTTTCAGTGTCACCCATCAGTGCCAGTCAGTGTCACCTATCAATGCCAATCAGTGCCACCTATTAGTGCTGCCAATCAGTACCACCTATCAGTGCCAGTCAGTGCCGCCTATCAGTGCCAGTCAGTGCCGCCTGTCAGTGTGCATCAGTGCCAGTCAGTGCCACCTAAGAGTGCCAGTCAGTGCCACCTATCAGTGCCAGCCAGTGCCGCCTATCAGTGCCATATATCAGTGCTGCCTTTCAGTGCCCATCAGTGATGCCTGTCAATGCCCATCAGTGCCACCTACCAGTGCCTCCTCATCAGTGCCACCTATCAGTGTCCATCAGTGCAGCCTATCAGTGCCCATCACTGCAGCCTCATTAGCGCACATCAGTGAAGGAGAAAAATCACTTATTTCTCAAAAGTTTATAGCAAAAACTAAGAAAAAAATTTGTTTTTCAAAATTTTAAGCGGTTTTTGGTTTGTTTAAGAAAAAATAAAAAAACCCAGTGGTGATTAAATACCACCAAAATAAAGCTCTATCTGTCACAAAAAAATGATAAAAATTTCATATGGGTACAATGTTGCATGACTGCGCAATTGTCATTCAAAGTGTGACAGCGCTGAGAGCTGGAAATTGGCCTGGGCAGGAAGGGGGTATAAGTGCCCTGTAGGCAAGCGATTAAATTGCCAGCAAAAAAACACAAGTGTCTTTCAGCGATCTAGACGGGTATCTTCGCCCATTCTTCATGGGCAAAGGCCTCCAGTTCAGTCACATTCTTAGGCTTGCGCACTGCAACTGCTTTCTTTAAGTTCCCACCAGAGGTTCTCAATCGGATTTAAGTCTGGTGACTGCGATGGCCACTCCAAAATGTTTCCAGCCTTTCCTCTGCAACCATGCTCTATGGACTTGAGGTATGCTTGGGATCATTGTCCAGTTGAATAGGTCCAACTTCTCCCAAGCCTCAGGTGTGTGACGGACAGCATCACGTTTCCCATCCAATATCTTCCTGGTACTGAAGAGAATTCATGGTAACCGTGCACACGCAGAAGCTTCCCTGTACCTGCAAGAAGCAAAACAGCAGCCCAAAGCATGATTGACCCTCCACCATGCCTTCACAGTAGGCAAGGTGTTCTTTTCATCATAGGCCCTTGTTCTTCCTCCACCAAACATAGCGTTGATCCATTTGGCCCAAACAAGTTCTAATTTTGGTTTCATCAGTACCACAGATACACTATCCCACAACTTTTGGTGGTTTGTCCACATGCTTTTGGCATACGCAGTCGACTCATCTTATTCTTTGGAACAGCAAGGGTACCCTGGGGTTCTGCACAGGCCATCATATACGCATCTTATTGCTGGCTGAAACTTTCTGTTTCCTCCTCAGCCAAAAACTCTACCTTCAGGTAGCCACAGCAGCGAAGTCAGCATCCTTTCTGCCACGACCAGATCCAAAGTTCAGTCCACCTTAGGCTTGCGCAAACTGCTTTCTTATATAACAGACCCTTAGGGCACCCTGGGGAAAAAGATGGCTATATACCGTAAGTGAGCGCTTGTATTGTGACATAATTGCAATGCAGTAGGCTACATAGGGTATACTCCCCTGTATTCACTGTGTTGTATTGTGCTATAGTACTGTGAACTGCAGTGTAGTGGGCTACATATTATTGTGTACCCCTTCATCATGCATGCAGCCTTCAGCTGCTGTTTGGCTCTGCTAGTCTGTCCCTTGATTACTCTATTGTGTGCTACCTGCCCTGACCTTTGCCTGTCCCTGGATTACACTTATTGCAGCTCTAAATATTAACCACTTGCTGACCAGGTAGTAGCCATATGACAGCTACACCACGGCTGGCTAGTTCTGGGAGGGCGTCATATGACGTCCTCCCATGATCGCACTTCCTGCATGCCCCCATGGCATGCATCAGCATCAGGAAGTGTAAGTGATTGTTGTGTCCCTTGGACACAGAGCATCACAGATACAGGTAAAGAGCCAATCACAGCGGCCCTTTACCACGTGATCGCTCTGTCCAATGGATTGGCAATCACTTTGTAAATAAAGCAGGGTCATGCCTGGGACAGCTCTCTCCTCAGTTGCTACACGGTGAGTTTTTCTTCTGTACTGTGCCCTACAGTGCTCATCAGTGCCTCATCAGTGCCCTATAGCGCCTCATCAGTGCACTATAGTACCCATCAGTGCCAATCAGTGCCCTATAGCACCCACCAGTGCCTCATCAATGCCCTATAGTGCCCATTGGTGGGTGCTTATCAGTGTTCATCAGTACCCTACAGTACCCATCAGTGCACATCAGTGCCCTACAGTGCTCATCAGTGACCATCAGTGCTGCCTCATAACTGCAGCTTATCAGTGTACATCAGTGCTGCCCTATCAGTGGATCATCATCAGTGCCCATCAGTGCCGACTCTTCAGTACACATCAGTGCAGCCTCATCAGTGCAATCAGAACAGCCTCATCAGCTTCCATCAGTGCACCCTCATCAACACCCACCAGTGCACCCTCATCAGCACCCATCATTGTACCCTCATCAGCACCCACCAGTACACCCACCACTGCACCCTCATCAGCACCCAGCAGTGCAGCGTCATCAGCACACAGGTCCTACTTGGATGCTGGGCCTCTGTATATGGTCAGGCTGTGAAAAAGTCTCTCAAATGTGGTATCACCATACTCAGGAGGTGTAGCAGAATGTATTTTGGAGTGTATTTTTATTATCTATATGCTATGTGCTAGAAATATCTTATAAATGGACAACTTTGTGTAAAAGAAAAAAAAAACATTTTTTATTTTCTTTCCACATTTTCCGAAAACTTGTGGAAAAAAATGACATGTTCAAAAGACCCATTATGCCTCATAGAATATATGTTGGGGTATTTGCTTCTCAAAATGGGGTCATTTTGTGGGCAATTTAATTGTCCTTCTGCTTCAGGGCCTTCAAAAGTGCAAGTCCTCATGCACACTAGACGTTTTTTACAGCTACTGTTCTTGGCTTTTTGGCATTTTTTTCTATAGACAGTAAACTCCCCAGCATGTTATTCTATGTGTCCATGCACATAAAGGCTTTAATCGGCATTTTTTGGCAGGGGCATTTTTTTTTACTAGTGGGTTGGTTTCTAGAGAATTTTTTTAGCTGTAAACACGGAGAAACGCGGTAAAACGCAGTAAGATGCGGCAAACCGGCGTTTTTGGGTGGTTTTTTTTGGAGCAGACATTTTATTTAATTTTTTTTGTATAGAAAATCACTAAAAAAGTAGCTAAACGCTAATGCAAAAATGCTGCAAAACTCTCGTTGTTAACGCAACTTTACACAGCTAACGCTACCAGAGTTATTAAAATACCCAGTGTGCATAGAGCCTAATAAGTAGTCAAGATATTGATGTGTAATTTATGTCCCTAGAACACCTGACGGTGCTCCTTGCATGTTGGGCCTCTCTACGTGGCCAGGCTGTGGAAAAGTCTCACAGATGTGGTATCACCATACTCAGGAGGAGTAGCAGAATGTGTTTTAGGGTGTAGTTGCAAGTATGCCTATGCCATGTGTGATAAATAACCTGTTAATATGACAATTTTGTGAAAAAAAATCTTAATTTTCCAAAGAATTGTTGGAAAAAATAACAACTTCAAAAATCTCACCATGCCTCTTACTAAATACTTTGGAATGTCTACTTTCCAAAAAGGGGTCATGTGGGGGGTACTTGTACTGTCCTGGCATGTTAGGGCCTCAAGAAATGAGATGGGACGCCAGTACATCAGGTGTGATCAGGTGTGGTCAATTTGCAATGATTGGTACCATAGCTTGTAGATTCTATAGCAGAGGTGTCCAAACTTTTTTCAAAGAGGGCCAGATTGGATGAAGTGAACATGGTGGAGGGCCGAACATTTTTCCGAACATTTTTTGAACCATTACAATTAAATGCAAATAAATTATTTTATGCCAAGTTAATTGCAAACGACATACTTTTCATTTCATAACATTAAGATCAACTGACAGCTGAGTTTTCACAATTTATTGAAAATAAATTAAAAAAAAACTTACCTGCACTAATGTGAAGGGTGAAAAAGGTAGCTGGAGCTGAAGTCTCTGCTCGGCAGCCGGGAGGGGAAGAGAAACACACTTCACGCTGGAAGCCCGGCCCTGACGTCACCACCCTCTGTCGCTCCCAGCGCAGCGCAGTCACGCATGCACACTGCTCTCAAGCAGAAGACTGTCTGCCACAGAAGGGAGGGCCGTGCAACAGCCGCATTTACACAGACCAGGGAGAACGCGCCGCAGTCAGGCATGCGCACTGCCCTCTGCTCTCAAGCAGAAGACTGTCTGCCATAGAAGGGAGGGCCACATTACACAGAGCAGGGAGGGCTGTTGCAGGGCCGTATTAAACCGACCCCCGGGCCGTAAATGGCCCGCGGGCCGGACTTTGGACATGCCTGTTCTATAGCTTTCACACCAAATATATTATACACTGATTTATTTTTACCAAAGAAATGTAGCAGTATAAATTTATGAAGAAAAAATTACTTATTTGCAAAAATTTTATAACAGAAACTAAGAAAAACTAATTTTTTTAAAAAATTGTCTGTCTCTTTTTCATTTATAGCGCAAAAAAAACCCATTGGTGATTAAATACCAACAAAAGAAATCTATATTTGTGTTACATGAGTAATTGTCATTCAGACTGTGGGAGCACTGAAAGCTGAAAATTAGCCTGGGCAAGAAGGAGGTATAAGTGCCCAGTAGGCAAGTGGTTAATTAAAAAAGAGTAAATAATGTGAGAACTGAGTGAAAAATCTCAATAAATAATGAAATATAAATAATAAAAAATTATGAGAAAACCATTCGAATTGATCAGTTTAAAGTGCAATATCACAAGGGATCATCCCAATTATTATGTTTATTATTAGAATAAAAAAAGCAAAACCATGTGCTCACTTGTACTTGTAATGTCAAACTGTATGTAATGGAACCAGGAAGAGCCACTGCACCAGTTTCAAACTCAGTATCAGAGTGCGCTCCAAAGAGCAGAAGTGATGTCAAACTGAAAAATCCCACCCAAAATGTTTCATCATCAAAAATCAATTATGCCTACCCCATACCCAGGGTCAATAAGTTGGTGGATAAGCTGGCGTAGTTCATACTAATGCCATCTGGGATGAAGAACATGCCACCATCAAGGGCTGGGAGAATTTGCAGTCACCTACCTGGATGGTATTTCGAAGTTCAACCCTACCTAGAAAGAACACCTTGCAGACCTGGATCAACTGGCAGCAGCTAACCTGAGAGTCAAACCCATGTGTCAGATAGGCAAAACAGAAATGATGTTCTTGGAACACCAG